CCCCTCCTCCCCCACCTTCCCCCGCTTCCCCCTGCTTCTCCTGCTTCCTCCTGCTTCTCCTGCTTCCTCCTGCTTCCTCCTGCTTCTCCTGCTTCCTCTTGCTTCCTCCTGCTTCTCCTGCTTCCTCCTGCTTCTCCTGCTGCCTCCTGCTTCTCCTGCCTCCTCCTGCTTCCTCCTGCTTCCTCCTGCTTCCTCCTGCTTCTCCTGCTTCCTCCTGCTTCCTCTTGCTTCCTCCTGCTTCCTCCTGCTTCTCCTGCTTCTCCTGCTTCCTCCTGCTTCTCCTGCTTTCTCCTGCTTCTCCTGCTTCTCCTGCTTCCTCCTGCCAGCAGAGCCGTGCAGCATCCTGGATCTCCAGAACCAGAAGCTTCAGCTCTGATATCAGAGTGGTCATGTTTGGATATTACATAAATGGAGTCTGAGAGCTTTAAAACGGGAAAAGTGTTGAACACATGTAAAACCTGACAGCATTTTAATCCAGGAGTGTGATCACACTTTTTACAAGCATCCAAAAGTTTATTTTATAACAGTTTTTTTAGGCCTACTGCTTTATGTTTAGCTACTGCTAAAGCTACACTAACTAATAAAATGTTTTTGTTAAACTGTCACCATGTTGTGTCAGATAATCTGAACAGATTGATCTCCTCAACTGATAGGCTAATTTTTAACAAATATGTAAAAAATATACTTCTTATAAAAGTTATTTATAAGTTATTATTTTGCATCATTTCTATAATACAGGAAGTTTGGGATAAAGGGAAAGTAGAGTCTGAGGTGATCAATTAAGCAGAAAATTATTTAAAAAGTTACAAAAAAAAAGAAAATATTATTTTAAGACAAATATAAATGGCAATTAGCTAATATATTATATAACTCATATTTAAAGATTTAGTTTGAATTGTGTTGAAAGATTTCAAACAAAATCCCCCTTACAGCCACATCTCAGTAAATAATGTTTTTCAGTAACTCAATTAAGTGAAACTCATTATATAATTAATAACATTGATGTTTTCAGGTGTTTATTTCTGTTAATTAATAACCCTAACCCACTGGAAGTTAATGTAAATGTGACATTTAAGATTAAAATATTACATCAAACCAATAAAAACATTTTATTACATTGTGGGCTTAATGAAAAATATGTTAAACATCTACATCAATCTGACAGACATCAAAACACATTTTTAATTTACTGACATGTATTTGTACATCTCGTAAATTTACTCATTTTCAATCCCATTTTTTCTGCAGCACAGAAAAAATATTGGTTTCATGTAAAATAAAATATCTTTAAAACCGTAAAGAGAGCAGCACTAATTTAAAATACATAATGTGTGGGCGTTGGAGAGAAGCTGCGCTGGATGTTTGCTGAACTCTGAACTTTGCTTTAGACAGGATCGATTGTGAAAAACATTTATTTTCAACAGTTTCTCTCAGGAGTTAAAACTCGGCGGCCGGTTTGGACTCGTTTCTCCTGGTAGCAGTGAAATGGAAACGTTTCCTCTGGCTGTGGGACACGACGCCATTCGCTCTGCTGAATCTTCACTCTGGACTTTAAACCAACGAGAGCCGGAGCGTTTTGATTTGACACGATGTCTTCACACAGGAAACGGATCCGGCTGGTCCGATGTGTCCACTGGGTCGTACTGGAAACAGGCTGCCTTGTGTTTCCATGTGATCTATTTCATATAAACATAACATCACCACGTTTCATAAAAACTAAACAGGAATTCATTACATTATCTAATTTATTTAACTTAAAAAGAAAAGCAACAATTACTGCAACAGTTAAGATAACCCCTTTCTAACTTTTAGCTCCTGCTCAGATATTGATGGAACTTATTGAAATTACAGAATTGATATCTGCTGCTGTTTTCAAATGCATAATGTTTAACTTAAGCTATTAAGTAAAATATTACAAAGATTTCTCCTGCTAGACGGCCGAGGGAATGATTCAAACCGAACCCTGAGGCTGCATTCACACCAGACCTGTTTGGTCCACTTTAACCCAACTCCGGTCCGTTTGCCAAGGTGTGAACCTAACCGACCTCTGACCTTTGAGCTCCAGTCCTCCAAACCTCGGTCTGGGTTCGGTTGAAGTGAATTCTGGTTTGGTTTGAATGTGATCACCAAGCGGACCAGAGACCGCTCCAAAAGCAGGAAGTGGACTACAGCGCATGGCATTCTGGGTAAATGCAACCAAAGCTAACGTGTTAGCCTAGCGCTAGCAGCAGAAATGGCTCCTGGTCTTTAGCCTAAAGAGAAATCCTCCAACCGCTAAAATCCTCCATCTTGTTTCCATCTGGTGAAGCAGGAAGTTGCTCTCAGTGTCTTCAGAGGTTTTTGTGTCGTTTCCTTCAGTGGTTCTCGGTGCAGCGCCCCCACAGGCCAGGAGGGGAACAGGTTTGTTTGACTCAGAGCCACAGCAGCTGAAGGTGGAGCGGATGATGGAGTTCTGGGTCCAGTAGAACCGGGTCGACCGGACTGAAGGAGGACTCAGCTAAATATAACTGGATTATACAAAACTTATTTATTTTATTTTTTTATGTGAACTGCTGCCATTTAAAAATGTGAATTGTAAACAAAACAACAATAACATGTCAAATTAGACACATTAATTCATTGCTTTCATTGCAATATATTTAAGTGGGCAGTATCATGTAAAATTTACTTTTTTGATCTTTATATCATGTTATAATGGAGTGTTGCTGTGATTCTTTCATGTTTGAGAAGTCCGTTAGCCTCCATGGCAACCATTCAGCTGTTAAAACGCCTGGTGGACCTAGCTCCGCCTTCGAGGCTTAGCTCCTCCCCCACTCAGCTCCCCCAGACTAGCCAGCAGCAAATAGCAAATAGCTGAGCTCATTACAGGAGCTGCTGCTCAGAGCAACGCTGGTAAAAACGTTAAAGGGTTAATAGAGGAGCCATGTTGGGATGACTTCCTGGAGGCGGAGCTTCAGGAAGAGATGGAGCTTTTTAAAGAGACAGAGACCCAATTTCAAGGCGTTAAATCAGGAAGTATAATTTATTAAGTCATATTTGATATATAGCATTTTGTAACAACTAGTGGTAACATAGAAAGGACAATCAGACCTGCAGCTGCCAGCTCTTAACAGTTTCCGTGTTTGTCTCATAGGCTTGAATCCCACTGAGGCCCCATGGAGCAGGATGTGGAGAGTCCGGCCGCCGTCAGGAAGCCCAAACTGCCCAAGCAGGCCCGGGAGGACCTGCCCAAGCAGCTGGCAGAGATAGACAGAGCAAAGAAGATCCAGCGCTACGTCCAGAAAGACGGGAAGTGCAATGTCCACCACGGGAATGTTCGTGAGACCTACCGCTATCTGACAGACATTTTCACCACGCTGGTGGACCTGAAGTGGCGGTTCAACCTGTTCATCTTCGTGCTGGTGTACACGGTGACATGGCTGTTCTTCGGCCTGATGTGGTGGCTCATCGCTTACCTGCGCGGCGACCTGGACCATATAGCTGACGGTCAGTGGACTCCGTGCGTCAACAACCTCAACGGCTTCGTATCGGCCTTCCTGTTCTCCATAGAGACGGAGACCACCATCGGCTATGGATACAGAGTTATCACGGACAAATGCCCCGAGGGAATCGTTCTGCTTCTGGTCCAATCAGTGCTGGGATCCATCGTCAACGCCTTCATGGTGGGCTGTATGTTTGTTAAGATCTCGCAGCCCAAGAAACGTGCAGAGACTCTTGTGTTTTCCACCAACGCTGTCATCTCTATGAGAGACGGACGGCTGTGCCTGATGTTCAGAGTCGGAGACCTCCGAAACTCGCACATCGTAGAGGCTTCGATCAGAGCTAAGCTCATCAAGTCCAAGCAGACCAAGGAGGGGGAGTTCATTCCTCTCAACCAGACGGACATTAACGTTGGCTACAACACCGGAGATGACCGGCTGTTCCTGGTGTCACCGCTCATCATCTGCCACGAGATAAACCAGCACAGTCCCTTCTGGGAGATCTCCCAGGCTCACCTGGCCAAGGAAGAGCTGGAGATCGTTGTGATCCTGGAGGGAATGGTGGAGGCCACAGGTCAGCTCACACTCAGGAATTAACAACCTTACTGCACAATATTTAATCCAATTTAAGATTTCTAAAGGTGACCAGCTTCCTGGAACAGATTAGGATCGGTCAATGGCCTATACAAAACATGTTCATTATTTATCACTAAATCATTCTTAGATGATGAGATTTCAGTCTGATTAGTTGTGCCTATCTGGAGTGAAAATAGCTGCAAACAGACGAGCAATTATACAACTCTACATCATTGAAAAGCATTAGTGGAGCCTCCTGCTCAACCAGCCAGAATGCAAGAAGTCAACAACTAAACTCTTGTCTTTTCCAGCAGCCATTGTACAGCGCATAAAAATCAGCTGACCAAACGCTGGAGATCAGCCGGGGTTGCTAGGTAACGGTGTAATACGTGATTGTGACTAACAATCAGGGCTTTTTTTTAACAGCTCGTTTTTCAGACACCATAAAACATGGAAACATGAACTTATTGCCAAAATCTTCTGGGTGTTTTTAAGCGCTCGGTCTGATTTAGAAGCAGAAAAACCAAAACGGAAGAAGAAAAATGCTCAAAATGTAAATTTTGCATAATTGGTTTCCTTTAAAACTAATTATAGAAACATAAAAGATATTTTTATGTTTCAGTTCCACAAAAGCTCAAATTCTTAGGATGCACATTTTGTTTTAATTAATCAAAAATATGAGCAGTCATTTATTTTGGTCGCTGCAACTGAAACATGATTGAGTCATTTTTACATTTTGGACCCGAGCAGAGTGAGAATAAAGTTTTATTATTTAATATAATTACTGCTGCAACTAATCGATTAATACGATGAAAACTGGCAGAATCTGGAGAGCAGATGTTCTTTTTTAGTCTGTTTACTACAGTTAGTTATTAATCAGTTTCTAAATTAGTTGATGACGATGTCAATAATTGATTGATTAGGTATTTATTGATTACATAATTAATTGATAAATACCTCATTAATCTGGTAATGATTAATCATAACCTGATTAATCATTCAGCCCTAGATATAATTAACATGTTCAACTCTAAAAGATTTGATCAGGCATAATATTTCCTACATGTCAAAAATCATATTTGTTTTATAGGTAAATATAAATCTTTCTGCGTGAACAAAAAAATAAACGACCTGGAAATATTTTCCCTTCTTTTGGGAAATGAGGATTTTTATTTGTTCCAGTTAAATAAGTTGAATTTTGAAATAAGCTGCACTCAGACATTAACAACAGACAGTTTGAGATTCTTTAATGTTTTATTATAAAAACAATCAAAAATATAAAACCTTTATGTTTCCACAGACATTTTTCCACTTGTCAGCACTGAACAAGCTGCTTTTGATGTATTTGGACAGAAAATTATAAGCTAAACATTTCTAAATTTATCCTAGTCATCATCTAATAATACACAATTTCACCCTCAGAAATCATAAACAGATTTAAACTGAAATGATTTGATTGTCCTTTTAGCAACCAGCAGAACTTCTCCCTGAAAACAGATTATGGTTTTATAAATCAAGTGTTTTATTGACGCCTGAGCGTTTTGTTGTGAATCGTCAGACAGCCAAAGAGCGCAATAACTAATAATATGGAAAATGATTTAACGGTTTACCAACCGTGGGACAAACTGAAGTAAGTGAGTTTTGTTTGACGGCTCCAGTTTCCTCCTCACCTGCTTCCAGGCGTGAAAACCATAAACTCAAACTCTTTTATATTTTACTCTCCAAAGCAGCAGGAAGAGTAAAAACTGGATATTAAAATTGAGATTTATGTGCAGTTTAACCCACAGTGTTCAAAATGACTGAAAATCTTGTTTAGGGAAGATTCAGAGTTTTGAAACTGTTTTCAGCCTTGAATCCCTTTTTATAAGTAAAATAATCCATATTAGGGATTTTTAAAATTATTTTAGTGATTAATTGGATAAAAATTACACATTTTGGAGCTTTTACATTTAACCACTGCTTTTATAATGTGAAAATATGCAAAAAATACAAATAAATAATTTAATTCCTTTTTGTAAATAAGAAAATAAAACAGTTTATTAACAGCTTTCCTGTTGATCATTTTCTGCAGGTAAAAATACTAAAATGATTCATTTCTGACTAACTTCACATCAACACAGCAGAGCTGATCTTTTTAAAAATGAACAAATTAATAACTGGATGATTTTACACATTTTAAATCAGACGAAATTAAATATGCCATTTAATTTAAGGAGTTCTGGGTAGAACTCATTTACAGACTAAGGAGTTTATTTTTTTTTTTTATCTTAAATGCCAAATATTTACATTTTTATACGGTTTTGTACATATTCATAACTCTGAATATGTTTTTCTTTCAGAAAAACATTTTTTTATTTTGAATCTGAACTCCAGTTATTAATCGATTACTAAATTAGTTGATTATCTCAATAATCGATTAATCCGATTAATTGTTTCAGCTATAAAGGTGAATAAATCAGAGACTTGTGTCAGAAACGTCTCAGTCTGATTTCCTGGTCATGGCAGCATCATGCCGTTCTGACGCTCCGGCCCTTTAAGCGCCGCCAGCCGCAGCGTGATTCTGAGTTTTATGTTGCTGCATTTTGTCCTCACCTGAACTCTGCTGCTGTCTTTGTCAACCAGTTTTTAACTTGCAGCAAGTTTTGCAGAATGAATGAGTTTTTGCCCGGAAACTGGAGGCTCTGCTTGTCTGCAGTGGTTGTGGTTAGACGGAGCTACAGCAGCTACATACTTTACTGCTTTAATAAAGTCAAACTCTTTAATATTTAGTTATGATCTTACTGCTTTTTACTCTCTAATGCAGCAGTGATCTTCACAAATCTGACTCCATTTCTGTCACCAATTTTACCAATGATAGAAGCTCAATAGATGATCAATAATAAAAATACAACCTCACTAATTAAAAGGAAAACAAAAAACTCCAAACCAACTTAATAAATGAGTGAAACGATCTGGAATCAGGGAGGAATAATTATAACGTCTGAGTGAAGCTGACAGTCAGACATTAAAGAATCTCATAAAGTTTACATGGAAACTGTATTCTGCATTTTATGCCCCTAAAATATTTGATGTTTTCTGTCATTTATTCTGCTAATCAACCTGATGATGTCATTTTTAAATTGCATAAAATTATTAGAGAATATTTTGTTTCTTTATTGTTCAAATGTTTGATTTTGCAAATAATGTTTACATTTATCTGAATCATGGATGGGCAGCCAGGAGGTTCTGGGTTCGACTCCCGGGTCTTTCTGCATGGAGTTAGCATGTTGTCCCTGTGCATGCTGGGTTCTCTCCAGGTTCCTCCAGAAACATGGCTGTCAGGTTAACTGGTCTGCTTAAGTTAAGTGTGAGTGTGTGTCATTGTCTGTCTCTGTGTTTCCCTGTGATGGACTGGTGACCCGTCCAGGCGACCCCGCCTCTCGCCCTTTGACCTCTGGAGAGGCACCAGCGCCTCCTGACCCCAATGGGACACAGGTGGAAGAAAATAGGTGTATGGATGGGCACTAATTGCTAACGATGCTAATGTTAGCATCTGACAGATGCTAATGTCCTGCACACTTCTGCAGGAGGCTCCACTTCTGCTTTTCAAAGACATGAGGTTTTATAATTGCACATCTGATTTTTACAGTGAAAACATCAATCAAACTGCAATCTGGTTGTCTAAGAATAATTTAGTGCAGAAATGTGAAGGTTTTGTTTAGGCCATAGATTTATACTAATGTCACCTTTTTTTTACCATATCAGCTGTGATAAACGACGTGTTGTCGGTAGGGTCTGAGTCTGGCTGTGTCTGCAGGGATGACGTGTCAGGCCAGGAGCTCCTACGTCAGCAGCGAGATCAAGTGGGGTTACCGCTTCATGCCCGTCCTGACGCTGGAGGACGGCTTCTACGAGGTCGACTACAACAGCTTCCACGAGATCTACGAGACCAACACGCCCGCCTGCAGCGCCAAAGAGCTGGCCGACATGGCCGCCCGCGCCCGGCTGCCCCTCACCTGGTCGCTGGCCAGCAAGCTGAGCCAGCAGGGGCTGGCCGAGTCGGAGCAGGAGGGGCAGGACAGCAAGGCCGGCCCGGAGAGCCAGGACAAGGCGGCCGAGAGGAACGGGGAGATAGCCAACCTGGAGAGCGAGTCCAAAGTGTAGCGAGAACCGAGCGGATCAGCGAGCGCACTGCGGGAGGGAGAACTGTAGAAATCCTTCACTAGATCCGCTTTTCAGATTCACACCTGGAGAACCAGAACATGTCGACATGAGGCCACAGCTGGACTGAGAATCCTCTGCATGTTTCAGCTGTCATGTGACATCTCCTCAGATCCCTGTTATTTTTTCTAACCAGATATTCCTAGGGGTATTTGCAGAAGTATTTTTGTACATATTATAAGCAGTTTTGGATTCTTTGTTTTGTTTCTGTGTGAATATCTAAATGATGTTTGATACTACTACCTTTAGGTTAGTTCTGTATATATTTTATGCCTTACTGTATGTATAAAGCTTTCAATAACCTTTTTTCAGAATTATATCTAAGCATGTAACAGTTCATTTATCTGGTATTCTGCACAAACTGTATGACATTAACGCTCTGATACAAACAAGGATGGATGCAAGCTCTAGTTGAAACCAATGAGGAATTCTTCCCTGGATGAAAAGTGTGTGTTTATGATTGAACTAGACCAAGCCATGACTCGCTGCTTACAGCTGATCCACTTCAGACAACGGCCCTTTAAAACTGCATTTTGTCACTTTTTTGCACACTGGAGACTTCTTGTCAGGCGCAGGATGTTAGATGATGTTCTCCAGATTTGCCTCACATGTTACCTAAAATCATAGACAATAATAAACAGTAAGTTCCTTATTATGCACCTGAGGATGTATTTTGCTTGGTTTTGTTTTCACAAATCATTCTGGTTAATAGACTTAATATGATTTACCCTTTCAAGCTAATAGACTGTAAACAATTAATCGACTAACAATTAATAGCAGATTATTGGATTAAAACTAGACATTTTAAATACCTGAAGAAATTTAACTGGGGCCTGCCCAACGCATGGCCATCAGATTGGACGCAGCGTTCTGACTTTACACAGTAACACAACTGAGCAATTACCACAGCTGGGATCACCCTGGTAAAACCCGGGCGCATATCCATACTGACGTGCTCCACCTGGTCCACCACTGAAGTACCGTAGCTGACCTGGTTCGTAGATACTCCACGCCAAGACTGACGACTATAAAGCTTCGAAAGTGTGGTTTTCACTCACGCTGCGAAATAAAAAAAATAAAGACAGTGGATAATTGTTTTTTTTTTCTAGAAAATGTTCAACCTTCATACTGAGGATTTTAATTCACACTCAAAAATCCTGAGACATTATACATTTATGTAAGCAAAATAAGAATAATCCGAGGAAATATGTATTTTTCCCACAATGCATTGCGAGACGTTTCTCTGCGCCTGTTTGTGAGACTTCTCACTGCCTCTGTCTGGGCTCCGTCGCTATGGTAATTAACGACTGCAGCCAATGCATTGCGAGACCTGAGCGCAAATAATTCTGGCATTTAAAATGGGCTGTGTCCCTCTCAGACAGCGGTTCGGGCCGCAGCACCTGCAGTGCATCTGAGTCGGTGAGCTGCGAGACAGACCATAATAGCCTGCGACATGCATTGCATGGGCAGGCCCCAATTAGTTCCAATCGCTCTTAGACCTTGTTTCAATGCTGTACTTTGGCCGCCATCCAATAGAGGGCGTCGCTGGTCGTCCTTAAAGGGAGTCGTTAATGCAGAAGTAAAGATGGCGGGCTGTCCCGGAACCGGAAAGAGAAACATTCCGAACAGAGTGCGGTGTTGGACGGAAATGAAGCTTCAGTTTCAGCTTCGTGTCGCTCATTCAGACGAACTGCGGAAACTTTTCAACCAGCAGCTGCGAAGACGGAAAGTTTAAATTATTTCATTTTTCTATTCAGCTAAAGCTAGGAGGTTCCTGTTTATTTATACATGTTTAAGTTGTCTAATATTGTGTGAAAACGACAATTTTCTGTTTATTCAGTCAGCAAATTAAAATTTAATATTTTAATTTGTGCATAGTGTGAAAAATGTAACCCTTTACATTGTGTTATGGAGAGACGGTCGGCCGTTTTGATACAAGAGAAAATTAAAATTTTTAAGAAAATGGCCGCTTGTCAGTTAAACATTAATCGATCAATAAGCTCAATCAGGTCAGAGGTGACAGAATCAAGGGTTTGACATGGACTTTAGAAATGACTGGGCTGCAAAAAGCTGGAGTGCCTCAAAAATTATACATGCATGCAGCCACAACTAAGCTGTGAAGTAAACTTAAATTCAATATCTCAGTTTTTAAACCTGTTTTAAACATTTTGTTTCTGTTTTAATAGATTCTATTTGAGTAATTCCTATAAAATAAATTCACCTTTAGCATTTTTCAACATAGATTCAAAAACATTGTATTTATTCAAAAGGACATTAAATGTTGCTTCATTTAATTCAAATATCTTATATCTGTGGTGGCGATGCTGTAGGTAGGATGGATCTCTGCTAGCAGTCAGTCTTACAGCGACTCTGAAGAGGCCTCTGACTGAAGCTGCAGATGTGGGCAAAACTTTGATATTCCACTAATGTTAAAAAACAATTTTGTAATTGCAGAGTTCATGTAAGTTATTAAATTACACACAAATAAGATTAACACAGTAAGTAATTAAAAAACAGCAGCACCATCCTCCTCGTCCCACTTACTGTCGATTTTTTTCTTCGTAGTTTCCACCAGTAGTAATGTCTGGTTGTTGGTCATGTGACTTGTGATGTGAACAAACCGTTTCCATTGCAGTTTAGCGAAATACGCCAATTCTGATCACAGCCAGAAAATAAAATAAAACATCTCGTCCTAGTGCGAAAACTTTTATCAAAAATCGTGACAATGTTCTAGTCAGTGGAAACACAGCTCCTGCTACTCCACCTCATTTGCTTTTGCACCAGTTTTTAAACTTCTGGCTAAGAGAAACTTCAAATCTGTTTCAGCTCCTCTGGACTTGGGGTCAGAGTTCAGCTTTTGAGATGCTAATAAGATCGTCACGGTTACTTGTGAGCGCAGTGTCGTCACGGTTACGTGTTAAACCCCTCCAGCATCTAAACCAGACAGGATTTTTATCCAAACATGCAGAAAAATTTTGACCTAAAAAGAAAATTGTTTTGATGGCAGGAGAAAAATCAGTCTATGCCTTTTTACTGTAAATAGTTTCATGTAACTTGATTTAACAAACAAAAACTTTAACTTACTGCAGCATTTTTAGTTGGATATTATGAGGCAAAGTTAATATGCAGAAATTATAATCTTGGACAAAGTTTTTGCATTAATCATCTTTTTTATTTCACCAAAACAAAAATGTTTTGACCATTTGTGAAATATTATACCAACACTTAAATGTTATCCATCCTTTTAAAGAAAAATCATTTTATTCTTACTTTTAAACACATTTTCATTTTAACATTTCAATTAAACAGTTTCTGTTACAGTTGGTGACATGAAGTTTATGAAAGAACATTTTAAGCTAATTGCCCCACTAAACATATTTAACACTTAAGTCACAAATGCATAAATTATGTTTCTATGTTGACAATTGACAATAATTCAATAGGAAATCTGCTCTATTGTCAGCTTTAGGTTTTAATAAATTAATTTTATTTGCTTCCAATGAAAACGTTATGTGGCACACAAATTAAAAATGATGAAATAGTTAACTAATTTGAAATTGTGTAATTTATCATCAAACAAAAGTTAAAATCTGCTAAAATCAGTTAAAATCCCTCTATACATGAGTTAAAAACTGAAATGTACCGTAAATAAGAGTGAATGTTTTAAAGGCGTTTTTATGTTCAGTCTGAAATAAAATCAGATTTATTAAGACAAAGTGATTCTGAAATGAACCAAAACAGATTCAGTCACACATATTTAAACTCAGTATGAATGTATATTAATGCATAAATATTCAAACTAATCAAAGATTCACTTTAACAAAGTGCTAAATGTTTCCCCCGGATCAGTGATGTCATCTGGGTGCGATGACATCACTGATCTACAGAAGGAGATCGGCGAAAGAAAAACAGATTTCCCAAAAATTAAATCTTTTAAACCCCCAAATTTGATTAATCAATCAAATGGATTGATCGCCAGCTGTGATCAATCTGCTGATAAATCAGTGAAACTGAATCAGTTTTCAGGTGTTGCTGTGAGTTAGCTTCCAGTTACAGATCCGCCTCCTCGGCGCTGAGGTCGGAGGTCAAGTTTTAAAGTTTCCTCTCTAGCCGACGAACATGTGGGGCTTGATGGGTGCTGGCAGGTTCTCGCCGTCCACGCTGTTGGCGTCGATGGCGGAAGCCTTGGAGGCCTTGGTGTCCAGAGGATACCTGTCCAGGATGTGGCGAACGTCCCGCCGGACGCCGTCGGTCCAGGTCAGGAGGTCGGCCTGCAGGCTGAGCGCCGCCGCCGTCACGGCCTCCTGCCGGGCGCTCAGACCCGACAGCAGCTGCAGGTTGTGGCTGGACCGGGCCAGGACCGGGCCGGCGGCACCGCCGACTCCGGGACCGCCGTCGGGCCGTCCGTCCTCCGAGCCGCTGCATCGGGGCGAGGCATGACCCGACATGTGGCGCTCAAACTCGTCTGGGGAAAGGTTGAGAGACTGAGCGTCCAGCTTCTCGATGAAGGCCACGGCGCAGCACTGCAACACAGACACAGCCGTTAGCGCTGAATCGTCCGCGGCTAGCGTCAGCCGCTAACTAGCTGGAGAGGGGCTAACTAGCTACCATTGCTAACTACCCTTCTGATACAGAGTTTCCTCTGGTCTGAATAGGAAGTGAGGGCGCCATCTTGATAGGTAAAGCATGGAGGAGCTGCGGCTTCCTGACCGACTGGTGGAAAATTTGCTGAGCAGATCTGTCTAAGCAGCAAACGTGAATTTAATTTGACTTTATTTACAGTTTCACTGGATCGTGTTCTGGGTGAATCTGAACTGCAATTTATGAACTCAGTTCCAGTTCACTGAACCAAACAGAATCAGTTTCTCTCTTGATAAGCGAGTGAGGAGTGAAGCGGACCAGGTTGGTGAAGTAGTATCCGTCCTCTCCGGTCATCAGCCGGCTCGGGTTGCAGAAGCGGGTGATGTACTGGATGTTGGACTGCAGCCGCGGCGGGTTGGCCTTCAGCACGATGTAGATGAGCGCCGGTAGGAAGTCGTCGGCGGACGCCGGCTCGTTCTTGGTGATCCTGATGGCGCTGAAGATGTGCTTGCTGCAGCGAGTGATGCAGGCCAGCTTGTCCCGCGGAACGCGCTTCGAGTCCATCTCGATGATGTCTGCAACCAGACCACAGGTTTCCCTGCCTTCAGTCACATCGCTGTTGCTACGGTTACCGCTTATTAAAACTGATCATTATGATTTACAGCCATTTAACAAACAATCCCATCGGATTGAACTGGAACAGAGAGGGAACGTTTAGGAATGTAAACCGTAATATCTGGGAAACAAGCCGTAAAGTTTTAGAAATAATCATAATAATTTAACTGACTGATGAATCGTCGTTTCTCACCTGTTATGGCTCTGACCACGTTCTCTGACACTTCGGCCGTTTCTTCCTCCATGGACACACACAGCATCTGGACGGTGACCCAATGCAGCGCCCTGCAGACACACGAGGCTAACCGAGTCATGCTAACGGCTCAGCGCACCCTGAGGGATAACAAGGCTCAGCACAGGGCGTCCCCTGGGGGTGAAGCGCCACCCAGGGGACGCTGACATGCCGTGTGCAGCTGTCCTCATGTTGAAACACGGACCTGAGCTTTAAACGCTGCTGGGTAACAAAAT